AAGAGCGTAGAGTTACAAACAGAAGTGGACATGTTATTGACATAAATATAAATAAAATAGGTGAAAGAGAAAATAATAATAATATTAATAATAATGTTAATCAAGAAGCAGTTTTGTTTGGTGCCCAGCGACGGCCATCCGGACTTGGTGCTGGCACACCCATAAACTATATAATATAATAAAACGCACGAGACCGAATAGAACATAATGATTAAAACCAAATTACAGTAAAAAAAACACCAAAACACGCATCTAGAAAAACAATTATGACTTTCATAATGAAAAAAACATCAGTCGAACAGAGACGAACACACATTGATAATCAGCACAAAACAAAGAACGTTTACAATTAGACATATCAAAGTGATCGGAGTTTACATAGTGCGTACTTTGAAAAAGAGACACCGGCAAAGGAATCATAACGTCCAACGTCTTCAGTCCTGACCCAGGATGGTGCTGCGCCTAACAAAATCACTTAGGACGTATGAAAAATGGACGACCAAGTCTACAATATTATAAAGCTCAAAAAATAAACTTTAACTGAAATAGAATTTATACGATTAAAAAAAATACCTTAATTTTTATTGGTTGTGCACCGAAATGTCCCTTCACCGAAATGTCCGCGCACCGAAATGTCCTCGCACCGAAAGGTCTGTGCACCGAAAAGTCCGTACACCGAAAATTCCCTACACCGAGAAATTCCCTTAGAAACGTCCTACAACAAAAAGTTCTAGAAGTAGGTGATGTAAAGAAGAATCCAGCAGCGCGGCCTCGTTGCCTAGAGACTAGTGAATGACAGTTTGTTGCAGAATGAAAAGAAGGACATAGCTATTACGAGAACGCAACTTTTTCAAAATATTAAAAAAAACGCAAAAAAAACAAAAAAAAAACACTTAAACGTGCAGGCACGTTGATCAAGGTCAACCTCGAAGACTCATATTTTTGACTTTTGAGATTTCGCTTTGTTATGCTTCTTTTTTCTTTGTCTTTTCAACTGTGTGATGTTTACTTTTTTGCCACATTCGCAAACATAAATCGTCCTCGTTTACCAGGGATCGAGTCCTAGCAACCAAAAACGAGAACATTTGTTCACAAAGCGTCACGGCTCCTGACTATTAAAAAAAGAAATGATCGAAAAAATAGCACTGCACGAGCGAAGGGAAAGTATGAATATGTCAGCGGTGTGAAAATAAAATTATTGGGAGCACAAGTTTACTCCCCTTAAAAAAAAAGGTAATATAAATCAAATATGTGGAACTGCACAAGTAATTTTCATCAAGATCAATAAAATATTTCATTAACAGATCTATAACTTTCGAAAGCAGAAACCAATCAACACTGCAGGTTGAGAGGACAAATGTGAGCTAGATTTGGATACGTCTAGCTTTTTGTGGTTTCTAGTCATTCCGGACGGTGCTGAATGACTGGAAAAGTTATGTCAGGTATGATGTTGTCTCGAAATATTTTCTAGGACGAGGTGCTGACGATGCTCAAAAGGGAACTATAGAGAAATCTTTTTGGCAAGGCCACTTTTATTTCTGCATAGGCACAACACCCCAACACTCATCATGTACGCATTTGTTTAACCGTCGAAGTAAATGCCCTTTGGCATTATACGGCTGCTCTCACAGTAGCGGTAAAAACACTCAATACCTTTCTTTCGATGTCACTACCCTCAATCTACGGTAGAAGATCTCCGAAAAAGCATACCAGCACGCCAGAGGATTGTTATTTAATGCATGCTGAACAGCACTGGTTTTGTAGTTGGACCCCCAATTAAAAGCAACTCGCTTGCTACAAGACGTTAGAATCGGGAATAATGAAATGGTAGCTCAGCAAAAGAGGGTTTTTTGATGGCGATCGTCTCAGAGTTCGGAAATCTTCTACTTAGGTGTGATGTGCGAGGCACGTGTGCTAGCTAATGGGCTCTCTCAGTTCGGTTTCAGAATGCAGCTACCTATAACAATCTATGGTTACTTACAGCTTCAAAAACGCAGTGCGTGACAGGTCCTGAGAATATTGTTATCCCTCAGCCTTGAATCAGCTCGTGATTTTAAAGAATATGAATGCCAGTATGCGAATCACGAAACAAAAAATCATGAACATTATAAGCCAGGCATTGGTCTTTCTCAGCTGTCAGGGGCCATAACAGCTAAGACTTTCCCGCATGTTTAAGTTTGCTTGAATACTCGGAATGTAATTTCGACCCAGATGCATGCAAGTGTCTCAGCAGAAAATAGTGCATTTTGATGTTGCTTCAATTAGTCACGAACTCGGTAGAATAGCAGTGAAATCTGACAAAGGAATCCAGAGGTAAAGCCCTATATTTATAAATTTATGAAATTTCTCTTTCTACGCAAAAGGAAGCAACGGCTCTAGTGATTAATTAATTTAATTAATTATAATTAATTTATATCAAAAACACCTAAACTCGTCTGTCAACTGTGTTAAAAAATGGTGTGAAAAATGGGATATGAAAATTAATCCAGATAAAACTGTATCCGCCAGAATCACTAGCAAAAAAATGAACGTCATCCCCTAACCTATCGAGTTGGAAAGCATCCACTAGCTCTAGTTGATCACTTTAAGTATTTAGGAGTTACGATATCAGCCGACCTCACATTAAATCGCCACATCGACAATGTCTGCTGTACGGCTCAAAAAAAGTTGGGAATTTTGAAGCGAAACCTAGGCAAGACCACACACAAGTCAGGTGAAATTGACTGAATACACAACATTTATACGGCCCACCCTAGAATATGCCTGCGCGGTGTGGGATCGTTACCGACAGAATCGGATCGAAAAATTTGAAAAAATATAAAGATAGGCTGCTCGCTTCATCCTTTCCAGATACCGCCGAATGGACTCCGTTACTAACATGCTCGAACAGCTCAGTCACCAACCTCTTCACACCCGCCGAGAGATATCAAGGCTAAAGCTTCTTTATATATTTTCAAAGGACTTACTAAATATGGACACATGTCATCCTTTACAACCACGTATTACTACACCACTAAGGGGGGTGCAGAATAGGGCTATGCAAGGTCCGCGAATTAATAATGACACTTACAAGTATTCATTTTTTTGTTAGAACAGTTGAAAGATGGAAGAACCTTCCCGAAAGTGTTGTGAATTGTGACTCATTAGGCTTATTCGAGAAATGTTTACTTGAATTATATTAGACTTCTCGTTTCTGTTTATGAGTGAAGAAAATGTGTTCTTTTCTTGATTATGAACATTGATAGCTTGTGTAGCGTGATGTGAACCAGTGCGGTTTTGCTAATTGATGTAAAATGTATAACGTGTCAAGAAATGTATATAATATTGCATGATATGAAAACTGATCCACTCCTGTAAAGCGCCCAGAAGGGCGCACAGTATTTACAAATAAATAAATAAAAAAAAAACCTTTCTATCTATCGATATATGTATATATATATATATATATAGATACACCGCTGCAAAAAGCTTTTGCAACCAGGCGGTCATTTGACATAGTACACCGCAATATATTTACAGCACAAAAAATACGGACAGTTTTATTTTTTGGAAGAATAGTTATCTCACAAAAATTAGATTGCAAAAACACCCAAAGATGACAAATTTTGTTGACAATGCAGAAGCTGCATTTGTATATTAACACTACACGGACAGACGCATGGAACAGGAATAAAATACGGTAAATATGACAACTTTTAGTCGCCGACTGGTGGGCGGCTAAACAAGTAGCACGTAATTATATCGATGTTGAATGTTTGAACACAACGTGATTAGTTTACACAACTGTATTCTTGGCATGAAACATCGCGCTCCAGTAACGTTGATTGAGGAGCGATCGAGCATTTGGGCACTGTACGATTAAGCCGAGCAAAACAGTGATGCTTCATTCGTGTTTTAGAGCGGAGCTCTGAGGCGCCCGTTTCCTTTTCGTGGCGTCGGCGTCACCGTTGCCGTCGGCGTCGGCGTAACCGCGCTAAATTTAGCGGGCAAATTTAAGTCGCATTACCTCAAGACCGATTCAGTTTCCCGCCAAATTTAGCGGGCAATTGAATTGCTGTTGAAGTCACGTGAAGTCAATTTTCCCGCTAAATCTACGGAGAAACTAAATTTGTTTATCGGTGACGTGACAGCAAGTCAAATGACGTCATGTTCCGCGCAAAATGTAGCTGGGAATCTGAATTGGTGTTGAGGTCACGTGGCGTCAATTTTTCAGCTAAATTTAGAGGGGAAACTGTAACGGGAAGAGAGGCTATGGAGGAGGAGGAGAGGAGTGAACGTAGGAGGTGGATGGGAGGGTACACAGGAGGAGAAGGGGACGGTACGGGGGAGGAGGGGAAGGCACGGAGGAGGAGAAGGAAAGAAGGAGAACGAGGACGGGAGAGTAGAAGAAGGAGTGGAGAGGAGGAGGAGCGGAGGAGGCGATGAGGAGAGGTAAAGAACGGGAGGTGGAGGACGGGAGGATGAGGAGGGGAGAGTGGAAGGAGGAGGGAAGGAGAAGGAGGAGGGGAGAGTATGAGGAGGATGCGAGCAGGAGGGGAGGAGGAGAGGAAGAGGGGAGGAGAAGACGATACGGAGGAGGAGAAGGGGCACACCCTTCCCTTTATACCATCCCCTTCTTCTTCTCAAGGGCTGCGCTCTAATTTCGCGTTACAGAAATTTGTAAACGTCTTTCATTTTTTGTTCCTGTCAGCTGAGTACGTGATAAAGCAAACAAAGATAGCATACACTTGTTGCTTTCTTTTAGGCTTTCTGAAAAAGGAACATGCAAACTTTTTTTTTTAGTCCGCATGACATTATTGTTACGTAGTCAGTACGGGCTTGCGAATGGCGTTTGCCCACGCGGAATTCACATGCCTTCGTCCGAGCCTATGGCAATAACGGGTCTTCTTGCAACACAAACATGCTGGCAGGCAGCGCGGTCGACGTAGATAAAGTTTGGGCATCTTATCCACAACCCTACCCCGAGGGTTTATAAGCGGCGTGCCCCTCTATCTGATAAAGGCGGGGAGCGGGGTTGCGGAGCTTGGACGCGGAAAACGTTTTCAGTTCCGTTGGTCCCACCTTAACGGAGAGAGCCGTGCCAGTGAGGACATGATGTCGAAGCGGGGGCAACTCTGGCTCAAACTTGGGCGAACCCTCAACTGCAACTTGGGTATCTTTGGGATGGTATGTTTTCTAGATTATTGAGAACACCGTAGACATTCCTGAATATTTATGGTCGCTTTTTTTTTTATAACAGTGTATTTAAGCATACAGCACAGCGCTACCCCAGAACGATCGGACTGCAGGTCTTAAGTTTAGGGAGCACCTCTGGCTGAGTGCAAAATCGAATATTTCTTCTGTCGCTATGGCTTACGGGCAATTACGCGTTTTCGCGTTGCTGGTGGACGCTAAGCATCAATAGTTTGATTGGTGGATATAAATTAGCGAATAAAAATAACGAAAACAAAAATTTAAAAGAAATGCATTCGTATTATTTTATAGGACCCTGAAGCACGAGCTACGTTTTTGGTTTGTTTCTTGGTTTGTTCTTTATTTTTTTCCGAAACACGCTTGTAAACGACCGTGGCTCGTGCATTATAAAACGTTATATTGGAATTTTATGCTCGATCACATAGTTATATTCTTCCGTCTTATGGACTGGCCTTACACTTCTGGACGAGCGAAACGGGCTTATTAGTCGAATAGCGCTGAACTTACTGTTGAAGGGCCGATTTCGTGTTTTATTAGCAATGCAGCCTGATACAGCGCATCATAACCGCTAGAGAACGCTCACGTCAGCGCTGCCTGAACGCTGTTCCTAGTGTTGAATTTTTGCCGGAATAGAGCACTTTCAAAAGTTCATCAAGCAATATTGGCGGTTGCGATTGCTTGGACATGAAGCGCGTAATTGCATCCGAGTCCTCGACGAACCCTGACGTCACACTCGTTTTTCGACAAGAGTTGAGCCGAGTTCACGCCGACCGCTGAAGCAGCCGTCGTGTCCAATACATGCTAGGAATATATGATCAAGCAATGGCGGACAATCGTTGGCGCAGACGTTTCAAAAATGGTCTAGTCATGTGTGAACGGGCTTAAAGTGTTAGATCGTGATTGGTTAAAACTTTCTCTGTTGCTTTAACGGAGGAGACTAAACCCTGCGCCAACATTTATGTGCTACGTTGTCAGGGCCAGCGTACGTAGAGCAAAGCAACAAAATGTGGTGTATGTCTGTTCAGGGCGCGGAAGATTAAACAGTTCCAATGGGCCTCAGGTGTCTCCGCCGTAGTTTCGAAAATTAACCGGTGCAGTACGCGTGCATTGTAGGGCACCCTTAACATGCCACTGATATAGTTTGTACGAAATGATCCGCTAGTTTGTATGGCATGAGGAAGTATTGGGCTGAAAGTGTAATCTATGATTATAGCTTATTAAAATTAGTGGGTAATAAAACCACGGTAAATTTATTGCGTCGTCAGGGGTTGGTCATGGCATTAACATCAGTGGCGCTCTTGGACTTGGCGGAGATCTACGAATCAGATGTGAAGACCGTGTCCCACTTCATCACCATACGCTGCGTTGCTGAACTCCTGGGTTCATTAATCGGTGAGTATATTGTATGCGTTGTTATGCATTAGTATTCCGAATAGATTATACTAAATTTGGCAAAACAACACCGAGGCACCTTTAAAAGTAAATTCTCTTTCGCTGCACTTACTTCCACGCATGACTCAATATAAAATATTATTGGAGAGTATCTTTTCCATACCACACCAAGTTTTCGGTCGGTGTATATTGTGTCCACTAGGAAATATATTAATGACTTTTTACAATAGCGTGCCAAAAAGCTTTGTGAACGTATAAAATAGTATCTTCGCCTCTCCGCATGCGCCAAGCCCCAAACGCATTTTCGATTGGCACGTTGCGACGACGCTATGTCTTCTCCTACACAAGGATTTGGGTATGCTGCTGCGGAAGTCGTACTTGTCGTTTTACACGTATTTTGCGTGTTAATTTCAAGATGATCAAAAATCATCTGAAATTATAAAGTGCTTAGATGTGACGTACTTACAGCTCAAAATCTAGCCGTACGCCACATTCATGAATTGTTGCCGTATCTAATGCACATAAGGTAACACAATATATGCTTCGAGATCAAATATAGAATATAGGGCTAATTTAATATTTAATATATGTCGATTCTGGTAAAAATATATATATGTATATATATATATATATATGTTTTTTTTAATTTTTATCTGGGGTTGAGGTATTTATAACATTAATACTTTTTCTTAGTCTTTATTTTACATGTCTCATGTATTAGTAATAGAGGTTTCTTTGTACTTCCTGAAAACAGACGTTCATTCATTGGTAGAGAAATAGCAATATTTATAATTGTTTAGATATTTTTTTGAGAAATTTGGTGTTTATTAAACAATCTGGTCAACCAGCCCCTATTACGGGTATGCTACACGGTGCAAGGAAGTGAAAGAAAAATCACAATTAGAAGAAAAAAAGATTAAGGAATAAAAGAGAAATAGGTAGCGACTAAAAAAGAGAGATAAAATTAATAACAATAGAATGAAAATAAATAAGAATTTCCTAATGTGTATCTTTTTATATTAGTCCATCTTCACTTATCCTCGGTGCAGATGAGTCTTCCTGAGGAATTTCATGAGAGCTTTCGTAGCCTGATACGCTTGATCAGGTCTCCTGCTCAAGCGTATCAGGACTACGCAGAACATGAAAGTCCACCTTCTGGTCTTCTGTCAGACTCAGTCGATTCTCCATTGCCTTCCTTTCCAGAATGCTTTCAATGTCACTGCAGAACAGGTGTTGGATGTCATGGGCGTTTCTAAATTATATTAATAGGGAAAACTTTTTCCTGTTTTATTTAATTAATTGTTACCATACGCAAATTTAAAGGGACCATAAACTTATTTTTCAAGTTCTTTCCTCTTCGCTTTGATCCTCAACTGAAAATTGAAATAAGGAGTCACGTGATCGTGACGCGCTTTGGCACCGGATGCGGCGACTTCAAGCTTCCATCGTGCATTTCTGGCACACCATAAAACTCAGGGGAGAGCTTTCTAAGGAAAGGAAGTAAAAAATAGTTCGCTATACCTTCGAACATTTCTACAGAAAGGCAAGCTTTTGGCTTTCTTCCTTGTCGGCGCACTAAACAATATGTGATTAGTAAAATTTTAATTTATCCCATCCCAAAACTCATCTCATTGTCCTTTTAAGTATTATATGAAGTAACGCTTTTTGAATTAATCTTGAAAGTCCTCATAGAAGAGAGAAATGAAGCTCGGGGTCTATATTGCAACGCAAACTGGTGATATTATGGATTTTCCCTCAGAAACGTTGTTACTTTTGTGCCAACATTCCCAACTAAGGTTTTTTAGTCGGATCAAAAAACAACCATCTACGAGAAAGCACAGCTAAAAATAAAACAAGTACGGCAACCTTTAAGAACGCAGAACTGCAGAAGATGTTTGTTCACCTTACATACATGTCTTGTATTTTTGTCGTGCATATTGGAAAACGTGCAAAGCTAGAAATATTATTGTAGTAACTATTTTGTGTTAAAATTTAGCTTTAACTTCGAAGTTGGTTTCATGGTCGAGTTACTAGGAAGCTGGAACGTTGACCGTTGGATTCATGTTACAACAAAACCCTTCGTGAAAAATTAGCTTTTCATAATGATTTAGTAGGCTTGTTCGATTTACCTGCACCTCCTGCACCGGCGCAGAAAGGTGTAGGGCGGTGAACTTTCGGTCGTATATCAATAAAACATACCGGAAGTACTCTGGCGTACGCTTTTCTGCACCGGTGTAGGAAGTGCAGGTAAATCGAACAAGCCTACTATATAGACCTTTAAAAATATATATATATGACCTTCTTGGCGCTCTTATTTTTGTCTGCTAGGCTGTGAAATGCCTTCTCAGCATGCGCTGTTCATCTGCTGTGCTGTATATCGGACGCTTCGCACGCTTCCACAGCTCAGTGGATCGGCATTTTTCGCCCGGCTGACCAGGAATGCAAAGGTCTAAGCGCATTTTTCACTTAAGGTCTTAGAGCAGCCGATGCTACAATTCAATGAGTCATTCAAGCAGCGCCAAACAGGCATCGTCGTGGCGTTCATCGTCTCTGTGTGTTTGATATCAGCGACGAAACCAATTATTCACAGTGAATGTACCGCATGGATGGAAGAATGCTAATTGCTATACCCTTTGTAACAAGCGGCACCTTGCGCCACCTAGCCTAAGATTTCATCATCCCTTCTCTTTTGTTCTTAATTCGTATAAATTTTGTTAGTACACAACCCGCCACCCTACCCTTTTTCAAGTGATTCCATTGCTTATTTTTATCTGTATTTTTTTTATCCCTCCCTAGATCTTTTCCCCCAAGCTTTTATTCACCACAATTCTTTCCCTATCCATTCGTCCATCCATGTCTGTGAATCCCCCGTGACCCTCCAAATCCGTAGTCATCTTCCCCAAGAGGGTGGGACGAAGCCCCGTGCACCTTAATATAACGTGTTCTATAGTTTGCCTTTCGTGGTTGCATATGTAATCTTGCGACCTCTTTTCTTTTTTGTTGCTGCTGCGCAAGCTCAAAAAGATCACGAGGGTCCTGACGATGCACGTTGGACGCTGCTTGATTAGCTCCCTGTGCTCGCAGCGTCGCGGCTGCGTTCGAAGTGAAACGGAGCGTGAGTTTTATAATGTTAACCCAGAATTTCTCTCTTTGCAGGTGGGAAGTTGTACGACACTTACAACACGCAGGTTGTCACCATCCTGACAATGTTGATGGCCTTCGGAACGGTGCTTTTGATTCCCATAAGTGGAACTCTCGCACTGGCGCTGGCCATGGTGTTCATTGGTGGACTCAGCTTTGGCGCCTTTGATACAGGTTCGTTCCCTCTCAGTATTTAGGTTTTATAAGGCGTTATATGACGAAGCTACTCTACAGATTGCTTTCACCTGGGCTTTCAAAAGAGCTCCCGTCAATGACAATTTGAAAGACGCCGGGTTCGTCAAGTCCCGAGGTTTTTATTATCACTCCAAAACCACTAGGATCACGAAATCGACCGATAAGAAAGTTAAAGAAGGAAGCACGAAGCGAGAAGATGGATTGTAACTAGGTATTTGTTTCATAAGCTGCTAGTAACATCAATTTTGTGCAATCAAAAATGTAAAACAATACAGCCCCTTCGCCTGCGTGCCACACTTCCATTACTTAACTAAGGTTTAACGAAGTTAACTTACATATTTACAGTGACTGCTAAATATAAACACATGAACAGGTTTTATTTTTTAAAAAAACATCAGTGGCAATACAAATACATTATTTGCACTGAACGCGATTAAAGCCAACGGCAAGTGACGGTAGCGCTTGCTCAATAAAAAAAAAGAAAATGCACCAAAATGGCTCAATTTTTTTATAGCGTGAAATGCTTCAATAACATGTCTAAAAGACGAAAACACCTTTGCAAACGTTTTCCAGCAGATAATAATGTTTATTGGCCGTTATGTATTGTCCATTGCTTGAACTCCGGAAAGAAAGAGTTGGTTATGTATACCAATACACAAAATGCACAATTCCTCCGTTGATCCCCTCCCAACTATTGGAGACTACCAACGGTGTGGTAACGTTCAAAACACGACACTGCGCACAAGGCCTTCTTGCACCACCTACACCAGATCCTAGTTTCCTTGCGGATGTTCTTCCCCTTGCCGTCTCTCTTCATGTAGCAGACGATGCAGCGGCGTGTCGGTTCTCGCTTCTTCTCTGTCGGCGGGATGTGCGACGGGAAGTGGCGCTCAGTAAGCCGCTTCATGTTCAGAGGACATCCTGGCCGCCCTTTCTTCTTGGCACTGCCATTCCCTGAATACTTGGTGATGATCTCGTCAACAAGTTGCAGCCGGTAGTCCATGAGGGATGCTCGGCCTCCTTCTTTCTGATAGAGGACAAATGAATTGTATGTCGCTTCATCCAACAAGTGCTGAAAGATCTTCTTGTACGAGATCTTCTTTCGCTTCCGTGGCACTGAGTAGCTAGACAGCATCTGGTCTGCCCTGTCCACTCCACCCATTGTGTGGTTGTAATCCAAGATAGCTTCAGGCTTCATGAGCTGGTTGCCCCTTTTGTCAATGAATGGTACCATTTCAGCACTATGCACAGTGGATAAAACCGTTACCAGCTTTTTGTCCTTCCACTGTATCAGCAAACACTTGCCCCTTTGAAAGGCCAGCATATCGCCTTTCTTGAGCTTTGTGGTGGCTAGGCCAGGAGGAAGATTCTTGCGTGTCACTCGTGTTGTGCCATAAACATCGGTTGATCTTTTGAGCAGGAAGTCAACAAGTTCTGGGGACGTGTAAAAGTTATCTGTAGTGATGCAGTAGCCCTTGTCCAAGAGAGGCTCCACAAGCTTCACTACAACTTTTGTTGCCATTCCGAAGCTTTCCGTTGCTACTGACGAGGTCTCCAGGTCGGTGCCTTTTCCCGTATATATTATAGAGTTCCATATATAGCCGCTTTCCGACTCGCACAGCAGGAATGACTTGATGTCGAACCTTGCTCTTTTTAGAGGCATGTACTGTTTCCAACTGAGCCGTCCCTTGAAAAGCATTGCAACAAGCTTTCGTCGACACTTATGTCGCGCTCAGGCACGTACAATGTACGGTACTTCTTCACAAGCTCCTGATACACTGGCCAGATTTTTCGGAGCAGAGGTTGAGGGTGTCCTTCCAAGTTCTGGATGGTCGTGTTGTCAACGAAGTGCAGCATTCTCATGACGAGCTGGAAGCGGTTCGCAGGCATTATCTCACCAAAGGCAGGGGTCTCAATCAGGCGGCTTCTCGACCAGTACAGCCTTTCGTTTGGTTTTTTTTACAATGCCCTGCAGCATCAAGAGGCCAAAACAAACACGCAACTCTTCACGCGTAACAGGGAACCATTTTCGGAAGCGAGAATGCTTGCCCAGGTTCCATGAATTCAGCAACTGAGATGCGTACCTGTTTGTCTCAACTACAATAACATCAAGCAGTTCATCATCGAAGTAAGCCTCATAAAGCTCTAGTGGCTGGGGGGTAAGCTCACTGTGAACGTCAGTCCCGATGGACCCTTGAATTGAAACCGTGGAGGTCTCGCTGGAATATTTTTGAGGTCTATGCGACACCACGCACGGGAGCTGGCGATCATCTCATCGATACTTTCTTCGTCATCTGACTCGCTGTCGTTGAGACTGTCGTCACTATCTTCTTCACTTGAAGAATCAAAATCGAAGTCAACATCCTCATCACTTTCGCTATCATCTGACGGATGATAATCAACCGCACTCGAACGACGCACGGATGATGCCATGTTTGTTTAAAAGCGCGGGAAAATCTCATGCCAGCAGGGCGAGACGCAAAAAACAAGGAGAGCATACAAGGAACGTCTGCTGCCATCTAGTGTGAAAAATGTCATTCAAGAAAAGCGTGGATGAAAAAAGATGCTGCCATCGATGTTTTTAAACAGAAAACGCTACTTGACGAGCTGTGCTCGTCAACAGCCATTTAGAAAGTAGCAAAGTACCCATGACGTGGTGAGCTCGTCATAAGCAAAAAAGTGGCAATCGCTCGTGACGAGTTGAGGTCGTCATAAACCCGTAAATGGTTAAGCACATACAAAAAATTATTGTGACAAATCTATGCACGCAGGATTAAGCATAGAAAAATAATATAAAATGTCTGCGCAATTCAAACACGTTTTCAATAATAATACACATTATCGAGTTCAATGATGCACGGACATTTACTATATCATAGGACATATAACGAACAACATAAATGAAGCGAGACTTTCTATTTAAAGCTTATGGCATATAACCAATTACAAAGAAGTCCTCGTTTTATTTTATGAATACTTAATATTGCACGTATATGCGGCAGTTTACATAGGCAAATATTTAGTATAATGAACTTTAGAGATCGTTAGTAATTGGCTCCCAGATTGTTTACTGATTTATTGTCAGAGATATTAAAATCCTCGGGGAATATCCAGTCCTGTCGTCTCAACATTAGCCAGTAGTGGACAATGAGGCCGCGGAACAACATACTAATAAAAGACGACGACCCTCTTATATGGTCTTAAATCACGAAGTTTCCTGCTTCGCGAGTTGTTCATTGGCGTTCTTGTCGACCCATGACTCAATCTGATTGACTGCGGTGTAATAATGAAATGTTTAAAACTCGCCACGCCTCTTGAGCTGTCGGTGAGAGTAGATGGCAACAGTCTTCGTTAGTTTGTTATTGTCTATATTAGGGCACAGCTAAAATCGCCGCCCCAATGATGTTATCTCGCCTCGCAAGCGTACCTTACGTTACCCAGCTTATTTTCGGCTCGATAAGGCTGGGGATAAACTGCTGTTTAACGCAACCCCCCGGCCCCCTCCCAAAATCTTGACCGCTGATCGTCCGTGCATTTTTCGCTAAGTTTAGTGGGGGAGTGGCATCATGATTGTAGCTTTGGGTGCAGTCTCAGCTTACGGGTGAACGGAGCACAGTTAATAAACGTTTCTCTACGAAAATGAAGTAATGTAAGGCTATAAAATAGGTCACGGAATACGTGCATGAAATTTTGGTGACACAATGTCAAAAACATTTACGGAGAACAAAACAAACATACCAGTTGAAGTATTCAGAATTAACATAGCTTTGTTAGAGCAATAATAACCTCAATTACGATACAAAAAGACCCCACATATTTTACTCGCAGCCTGTTTCTGGATGCCCTAGGATGCTAACACTTCATGTTAACACTTTATTGTTACAGTGCCTCAAAGACAACGTTGGATTGAAGGCGAGCTCCCTGCTTGTTCCGACCGCATACTTGAATGTGCAATAAGTGCATCGGCATAGCCTGCCCGTTTTCTGGATATAAACCTTCTGCGTCATCACTACAGCTCTTAAAAAACCTCTCCAGCAAAAATGGGGTTCATTCGTTTTGTTTTTTGTTTTTTTATGAAATCCTTTTGGAAGGTACCTTTACTTCCTTGTGGAAGTTTCCACAAAATTATCGCGCGCGATTTGAAGAATAAAGCATCAAAAACGCCCTTAGAAATTCCCGTATTGCAACTCGATAAACGAGCCGCGACGTAGCTGGATCAGAATGCCGTCTTCTTATGGCTTTTCTTCCTCCGCGTCCCTCAGTCCCGCGTGCTGTCATCGCATCGGTCGCGTCGCTCTGCTCAACGCATCTCTGCTTCATATCAGCCTTACCAAATAGGGCCAACAGAGAGGGCACATAGATGGACGAACACAACAACGACTGACAAGTAACGCATCGTCTACTTCTTTGTAAAAAAACAGGACCAAGGTTAAAAAAAAATCTCGCAAAAAGTTTGTGGAAATTATCTCTCATAACATTGGCTACTTTGCCAAGTAGCATGGCTCTTTAACGATAAAAAAAGCGGAAGGGGCGCTAATACACTTGTCATCAAGTAGCGAAATTTTCTCCGCCTCAACAATTCCACTAATTAAAGGGTCGACACTGGGCGCCCATAAAGTGCCTTTTATGAAGTAGGGCTCACAACCACAGTCTCGGACGAGAGTCCCTACATGGTCAGAGATAGACTTCTTCGTTTTGTTCCAATGTTCTTGCAGTCGATCGTTGAGATATCTGTCAGTTTATCCGAACAGAGCTTCCAATATGACCTTATACAGGAGACTCTGGTCCGACATACATACTGGGTGTCTTATCAGTGCGGCTCAATGAAGGTAAGGAGTGGAAACAAAAAAGGCGCGAGCGTCACGTTTAGTGGCTATAGAATCTCTGTAGATCACAGATTTCTTCTAGTGACGACACGAAAATACATGCATAAAAATATCAGCTTCTCAAATTAATTTTCTGATCAAATCTTAGTTATTTTGATTTTATAATTTAGCATCGTAGTTCAGGGTACGTAAGCTTGCGAGAGGCATAAAGACAAACGATCGCTATATTTATGCAGGAGTGGCCCTCTAAATATACACCCGAACATGGTAAGAATTTTAGTTTTATTAAGCACAGAGACAACAAGAGCATATTTTCTGCTTCAATGGCAGATCTCATATTAACGTCCCCAAAATTTTTTATTATTATTATTCTGTCGTGCAGGAGCCAACGTATGGACCATGCGGTTATGGCCTGAAAATAGCAACCCAGCGCTGCAAGTGTACCACCTGAGCTTCGGAATAGGCTCCTTGGCTGCTCCACTGCTCGCCGAACCCTTCCTGTCTACGCTTGCCTCCTCAAGCTCCGAGCCCTTGGACGCCACATTCAATGATACTGTTGACTTTCTGAACGACACCGTACACGTATGGACCCAGAGAAAGAACGCTACCAGTAAAGAATCCCGGATCCAGTACGCGTTCGGAATAGCAAGTGGATTCTACCTCATACCCCTAGTTTCTATGATTGCACTGTACCTTGTGGACAACGGTGACTTCAAACTCCAGGACACCACACCAACAGAAGTCTCATCTGGCGAAAAAGAAGCAGCCGACAACGCTCGCTTTACCAGAGTCCTGTTGACGCTGCTGTGTGCCCACATAAGCGTTTACGTTGCCCTGGAGTGCACAACAGGACAGATGCTGACAGCGTACGCCGTCAAATGTGACCTCCATCTAACCAAGTCGTCGGCATCCCATCTGACAGCCGTCTATTTCTCGTCCTTCGCGGCTAGCCGAATCATGGCCGCCATAGTCACCCTCAAGGTCACCTCCTTCCAGATGCTCGTGGTATCGCACATCATTCTCGCGGTCGCCGCGACCCTTCTTCTCATCTGGGGATCCTCGTTGGAGATCGTGCTTTGGGTGTCGGTCTCATTGCTGGGAGTCGGCAAAGGGCCCGTATACGGGGCTATTGTGGCGTGGACAGCGTCTTACGTGGAAATGAGTAACAGAATGATGTCGCTCATAATAGTGGCGGGGGTGGTGGGGGCCATGTCACCACCTCTGCTTGTCGGACAGTTCCTTGACTACCATCCGCCAGCGTACTTGTACGTCTGCTTCGCGACAGCATGGCTGTCCATCGTTCTTTTTATGGTAATGGCTTCGGTAGTAAGAAAACGGCCAACAGTGACCGCTAAAGAGAGCAAGTGTAGCACCGAAAGTCCTGAATTAGGTACTGACCGGGTTTGCTTGTAGTGTTAGAGATTTGATGCGTGAAATCACAAGCTTTGATGTTAAATATTTAGACGGACAAATAAACGTAGTAGCCCAAACTTTTGTACAAATTTAGTAAGTTAATGCTATAGGCTTTTTTATTTTCACTTGTATTCGGTCTGTTGAAGAACATAGCTTATTGCTCTCGAGCAGAAATGAGACAACTCGGTGCTGCGAATGCTCACAAATATAGCTTCAAGACATGAGCTTCAATCTTGTCGTGTTTTATTTTATAATATAAAATACATAAGAAACGAGACAATTAAGGTTATGTTGAATTGAGGTATGTCAAGACATCTTGATTAGAGTGTTTGACATTGCAAAAAGTTCGGCGTGCACCTGAATATTTATTGATATTTTTTCTGCATCGTACAAACCGGATATAGCAACACTTACACTCAAATAGCGCAAAACTTCACCCAATATATTTTTATTGACTTAAGCATCTCATTAACTTTCTTTACAATACGTTATATGTCTAAATTTGGAATGATGAAATTATACTATGCGAACAATATCAGGAAGAATATTCGGCTTTGTCAGTGGAGTTGTAACTTCTTTCTTTACGCGCTGAATAAACTATACAGCTTGAACCATTGTAGACAGTGCGAACTTTCTACAATACGCGGATCATATTTCACATGTCCAGCGCCGCAGTGCGGGGTAACTTTCAAAGATAACACTTGCACGCACACTCAAGCGCATTGAAAAGGGCACTTAGGTACATAGTGCACTGAATTTCTCTACGCCCTTAGAAGTTACGTTTTTTTTTTTTTTTTTTTTTGGTGGGGCGTTTGCTACACCACAACTAAGACCCATAAACTTCTTGATCTTAAAATGTTTGAAACTGACAACGTAAGTGATTATGCCACACTATAGCGGCGGGCTCCCAACAAGCCGTTTCTAGGGACTTTGTTATATACAAGCGCAAGGGGGCTTGACGCGAGGCTACAATTTGTTCGATAAAAAAGGTGAATAATTATATGTAACCCTTGTGTCTTTAACCATCTAATCATGACGACATTTTCTATCGTCTCAGTGCCATATAGCGATAATTAAAACACGGTAATAAAATTTTACAACCGGTTTTGTCAAGCTTGGAGACGACAGGATGGCTTCGCGGGTCCAGGGATCATTTCTGAAGGAGCACGCAAATGCGTTGAATTAATTCGGTGAGAGGGGACGAATCTTCCATTCTCGGGGTATATGAACCTTTTTCAAGGTTCATTTGCGCCCGACGCCAAGCGGCACATGCTTGATTTACACCGGGTTGATTCGGTGGTTGATCGGCGGGTGCGGAAGAATGCTACGAGTTATCAAGGATCATCGACGCGCCGACCGGGCTTTGGCGAACATCGCCATGACCTACCTAGACCTGCCTAGACTCCGTATAGACATCTTGCCTTAGCCCTTTCATCGCGATCGTCCATTGCCGGTTTGTAGTATTTCTGAGTAAAATGTGCTACGTTGGCAGAATACGTGCCGAGCTCGTCGTCGCAACAGGCCAATCGAGACATGGTTGCGTGCACGCTTGCATCGCGATTACCGCGATCTCGCATCTTTCTCTAGGTAATCATGTGATTCGTTGCCCGTTGCTTCTCCAACCGAAGTTGATCAAGTGGTGGGAAAATCCCTTGTCCCGTACATCCGTACTCCTAGGGTACCGAGAAAATGTCGCAAAGCTGCAGGTGAGCTGGTGAATATTAGCCATGTTGGATTAACCTGAGATTGAGGTAGAGAAAAAACGTCAAGACGTAGAAGAGACTGAAAATTCATGGAACGGCGTCTCAAGTCCTATATATTTTCTGTCCCTTCTACGTTTTGATGTTTCTTCTCTACCACAGTCTCAGGTTAATCCAATCCTGGTGTACCCTCCCTCCGTGCCGCCGATACAAAGCAGAATGTCACGACAGTTGGTAAAGCAGGTCCCTGCAACCACCTCTTGTTCATACATCCGTCACCGGGTGGAGTCTTTTTGTGAAAAAGATCCATTCTTTCTGTGAGACTTCAAAAGTGAGGTACCCGTGCACAACTCTGATCGACACTCAAGGCACGAACGTGCGAACTACAGCCCGTAGAGGCTTCCGCAATATTCGAAAAGGTTGAAAATATTGTGAAGCAGAGTCATATAATGATGATAAGTTTCAACGACGATGTAAATGCATCAACTTCTAAGTGCAGGTCAGCATATGTTTTAGTAATACAAATACTTTGTTTGTTCTCAGCAAAGGTTAACCAGGCGCAGTCGTTGCATTAAGGTGGCGATGCAGACGAGTTGGTTCAGGACTATATCGAGAAACAGTTCAAAATAAAAAACACACACAAAGGCCAGTAAAGAAAGTGGGCAAAACGAGGGCTGATTGACAACGTAAAATTCATTGAGTAAATGCAGAACCAGCCACGGCAACCATCATCAAGAAATAAACGAAACACGTGAGCACAAGATAAAAACCTCAAGCTTTTGAACTAATTAAACGAGGTACAATTAGCTACGTCAGCAAGACGTCTGCTTGCCTGCATTCAAAAGAACTCGAGTTTCTTAGTTTCTAGTGACTGTAGGTTATTCACGTACGACTCCTTTCTGTTTTAGCTTCTCATTGCCGCTGCAGGTTTTAACTTGTTGTTCATAGGTGTTTTGATTATTATTTGATGGTGGTTGCTGTGGCAGTTTTTTTTCTGATTCTTCTTCCTTTAAAATTCACAGGGTATCTTATGTTACCCTTAAGACGACTTGAAGGCGAAAGCCCAAGAGCCGATGCATTTAAGACAGACACATTATTTACATTGATTCCTATTGATTTGCTTTATAGTCCTTTGTAAATTCCAGTTGATTACTCTGACTTCTCGTTAATTACTCTTAATTCACTTTGATTCTATCCATTCACCTTGATTCTTCATAATTTGTTTTGTCACCTTTCTTAATATTATTGGCTCCAAATCACGTGAGTGGCCACGTAGATGGTTTGATACCTTTCGTGTCGCCAACGAGATTTCGCTCAAGGACTTTGAAGGTCAACGGAACGATGAAATATATAAGTATTTCGCCTTAATAAACTTTTAGTAAGTCACTCGTCCCGCCCAGTTATTCTCAAATTGTGTGTAAGTGTGTGCGTATGTATCTGTCTGTTTTGCGTTCTTGTCAATACAGTAGAAGTTGCTTTAGTAAGCATTTGTGTGACCGAACGGACAGCCCGTAACGAACTTTCCTTGTATTTTTACCCAATCATAACACTACTTGGGGCCTTTCTAAAAAAAAAAAAAAAAATTGACCAGGAGGACTTGTTTTTACATGTGATGGTTACGGGCAGGTACAAAACACACTCCGACATTGCGAGCCTGCAAACATAATTGGGTGTCTCAAACTGATCATATTCGAGTCAACATAATCGTTCCTTCATTACGACGCACGTCAACTGCAAAATTAAAAAAAAAGAACGTGACGCTGATTTGATATTATGGAATAACCAGTCGCTTTTCACGCCGTATTTTCGCAGATCTCAACATGTTTCAGGGTTTTCACCACAGTTTCCCGTAACACACGCCGCCACAACCTGTGTCTGCTAACCTATGACACCTGTCATGTACCTAATTCATACAAGAACAACATCGTATCATTATTCAAGTGACTCACACAGTTGCAGATGGCATGCTTCAGTCACTCTGCAAGCGTTCGTCATCTGCTGCAGGTATTTCGAGACGCCTCGAGGACGGAAATTAGTGGCAAAGGTGCCAAAAACAGCCAAATCTCGGAAAACTTTGGCATGTCAAGTGTGAGATCGAGGCTTCCTATATTTACTATTTCCAGTGGCTTAAATCCAACCTTCTGTTCTTGAACGATCGTTTTTTCGAAGCGAAATCCACTCCCATGTATTCACCATGAACACGCCCTAGCCAACAGGTTGTGTAAAGCAGCGACTTCCCATATACGAGGTAAATTTTAAATAAATGTGTTTTTTTTAACACGAAGTAATTGGTTAACTAATAAACGGTGAGAGCTGACTAATCTCCTCGCCAATTGCTGCGACAGCATTGCGACGTCGTCGAAGGTGCGCCAAACAGCGGTTACGAAGCACCGCATTGTTATTGAGGACGACGCTCTCCCTGTTCATCGATCGCCGTAGAGAGCCACCGTAAATAAAAGAGAAGTCACCCGGGAGAAAGTTCAATATGTGATGAACGAGGGCATAATTCAGTTGCCAAGCAGTCCGTGGCCTGTGATCCATTTGTTGGGGACATTCCGTGAAATAAGAATTTTTACAGGAATATCAATATTCTAATTGATTTGCATTCCATGATACCCAAGCAATTACAGTCTTCGGTAACATTACCATATTTTGTCAAGAAAAGCACAAATTGTCAATTATGTAAGGGTAACCAATAATATTCAAAAAGAAAACAATTTAGAGCACTGGAATAAAAATTATACGCGCCCAAAAGCTCACATACTGCCTATTTATACTTTTAGCTGTCATAAAAAATATTCTCTGGGAACAATGCGACCTTTGTTATTGTACAGTTGATATTCTAATCTTTCTGCAAGCGCCAAGACGCTGATATTAAAGAAAGTTGGGGATGGGACGGCCGTACCGGTTAAAAAAGACGGATCGATTATGTTCTGCATGGACTATCAGCAGCTGAACGGGGTGACGGTAAGAAAGACGTCTATCCACTTCCCCGCATCGACGAGACGCTAGACGGGCTGCACTATTCTCGATATTTCTCTTCGACGAACCTGACGGGGGGGTACTGGCAGACTGAATGAAGTCAAGGAACGGGACAAAGAGAGGACAGCTTTCGTCACGCCGGGTGAGCATACGAGTTCAAGGTGATACCCGTCAGACTATGCTTTGCACCAGCAACTTTCCAACGTGTTTCCAGCGGCAGTCTCGAACGAAGCGATTTACAGCGCGCGACCCTGGTATTGATAGGGTACGTCAGTGTTGCCCGACTGCGCTGGGCTGTGGGTTTTCTAGTCAGTGGGC